GCCAGCTACCAATGGGAGGCAGGCATGAGACCCATGTCCATCTTCCATACAAAGAAAAAGCCATCTGCTACTAAAGGAGTGGTACTAAATTTTCCTGTCCCCTGGTCCCAAGATAGGGTTGGCTGTGGTAGAAGAAGAGTTGAAGCAAAAGCCATCAGACGCTAGAGGAAGGCAAGAAACCTACCAGTCACCAGGATCCTTCACTGATACAAAGCAGAAGTCTGCTGTCATTGAGAGAGGGACAGAAAACTCACTCGCACTTAAAACCTCCCCCCATTACAATGCAGTCTGATTGCCATGGGAGAGAGGGAGATGCACCCTAAAGCTCAAGAGCCCAGGACCTGCATGAGACAGGACCTGGTTAGAGGGGGAGAAACACTGCCTGGCCCAACCATAACCCTTGCACAAAGAAACAAGCAAGAGACATCTACAGCTAAGGGAGAGACAAGAGTCCATGGAGAGACATCCCACTTGTAGCACAGTTACATATAGTCTGCTGAAAGCTGAAGTAGGATCACTGAGAAAAACTCTCTTGACATTCCAGACTACACACCAAACACAAAGTATCTGCACAAATTATATCACTGGAGGAATTTGAAACCTGTGATATACTGAGGGTAATGATATTAAGAATAAAACTTAAACCCAGATCAACTACTGTTGGGAGGTATTCAACCCACACTCTTCATACTAATAGCCTGATAGAAAGGTTTGCTCAGTTGCAGGTATGAGTACTAGTAATTTCAGTTTCTACCGTTCTTTTTCATGCAATGTCTGGCATTTAGCCAAATTTTAAGAAGAACTAAAAAGAAGAAAATGACAATGATCTGTTGTCAAGAAATAAAGTAATCAACAGAACTAGATCCAGAGATGGTTCTAATATTGATACTATCCAACAGGAACTTTAAAATAACTGTGATTTAGGGGCGCCTGGGTGGCTTAGTCGGTTAAGCGTCCGACTTTCGCTTAGGTCATGATCTCGCGGTTCGTGGGTTCGAGCCCCGCGTCGGGCTCTGTGCTGACTGCCAGCTCAGAGCCTGGAGCCTGTTTCAGTCTGTGACTCCCTCTCTCTCTGACCCTCCCCTGCTCATGCTGTCTCTCTCTCTCTCCTAGAAATAAATAAAACATTTAAAAAAATAAATAAATAAATAAAATAAAATAAAATAAAATAAAATAAAATAACTGTGATTTAGAGGCACCTGAGAGCTCAGTCAGTTAAGCAGCCAACTCTTGATCTTAGCTTAGTCTTGATCTTAGGGTCATGAGTTTAACCCCCATGTTGGGCTCCACACTGGGCATGGAGCCTACTTAGAAAATAAAACATAAAATAATATAAAACTAACTGTGATTAAAATACTAAAGGGTCTAGTGGGATATGGGGGGGCCTGGGTGGCTCAGTCAGTTAAGTGTTCAACTCTTCATCTTGGCTCAGGTCATGATCTCAAGGTTCATGAGTTTGAAACCTGTGTTGGGCTCTGTGTTGAGCATGGAGTCTGCTTTGGATTCTCTCTCTCTCTCTCTCTCTCTCTCTCTCTCTCTCAAAATAAATAAATAAATAAACTTAAAAAAAACAGAGCATTTCAGCAGAGATACTACTTAAAAAGAGTTAAAAGGAAATGCTAGAAATAAAATACAATATCAAGATATGAAGAATCATCTCAACAAACTTATCAGCAGAATGAACACATACAACCCAAGAAAGAATCAGTGAACCTGAAATAGGTCAATAGAAATGATCCAAGTTGAAATGCAAAGAGAAGGTAAGAGTGAATATAACAGAAGAGTACATCCAATAGAGCTGTGGGACAATATCACATTACCTAACAAATCTAATTGGAACCCCAAAAGGAGGTGAGAGAGGGAACAGGGTGGAAGAATATTTGATGGTAGTATGACTGAGAATTTTTCAAAATTAATGAACAACAAAAGGATCCAAGAGGCTCAGAGAATCCCAAGGGGAATACAAAGAAAAATATACCACACATCACAGTAAAGCTGTGACACATCATAGTAAACCTGCTGGAATCAAAAATTAAGAGGAAATGTTGAAGGTAACCAGAAAACAACAAAAACATTATGTACAGAAGAACAAATACAAGAATTATAGCACAGCTTTCTTCAGAAACTTTGCAATCCTGAAGACAAAGGAGTGATTTCTTTTAAGTACTGGACAACTTAGACTTCACCACAATCTCATCAGGTTGTTTGAATTTTTGGTGTGCATGACGCTAATGGGGACAAAGAAAAATGGTGGCACTATGGGAACAAGAGTAAATGACAGGGCTTAGATCCAAGGAGCTGGGTGGACTTGAGAGCCAAAAGTGACTTGGATGTATCTCATGAAATCAGACTATCAATAAGCTAGGATCCCAACCCCAAAAAGGGTTTTCCAGAGCCTGACCAGGTCAGTGACTACATTTTCTCACTCACTTCCAGCATGGTGGGGTTGGATTACAATCAAAATTTCAGTATCCACTTTAAGTAAACACCTATCCCTGGTGTTTTGAAGACACAGAATGAGTGGTGCAGATTTGATGATAATAGCTAAACTACAAAGGATAGTTCTTATGATTCCATCTATTATGGTATTAGGAGATGGAGAAAAGTGAACAAAGAATGCAGAGGACATAAACCTAGCAGGAGGAGCCAAAGCAGCTAAACAACGATTTCACGTTGCTCTTGAGATACAGGATTGGAGCAGGAGCAAGTCCTGAGTGGATGGTGGGCAAAGTGTGCCAAGCAGTGTAATTTCAAGCAGTCTTAGCTCTTTCATAATATCCATCCTTTTCCAAAAGACTCCTCCACTAAATATATAATCTAATACTACTCCTAGAGATTTCCATTCCTATGTCCCTCCTATATAAACATTTGAGAATCACCAGGGAGAGGTGTGAGGGAAAAAGATTAAATCTAGAGATTCTACTTGCTCACTCACGCTCTTTACATCCTATGCTAGCTGTTTGCCACACCACAATAATTAATTCTCCAAACCCATAAGGAGAAAAGCAATGAGAAAGAGCATGTGTATGTATCGGGCAGTGAGGTGGGAAATGCTGGATTTTAACTGATAAGAATCCCTAGGTTGTAAAAAAAAAAACAAAAAACAAAAAAAAAAAACAACCCACTGCCTAATTTAGCGAAGAACAGCCAAGATATAAAGAGGATTTGGATTTTATTTATTTATATACTTATTTATTTATTTATTTATGAGGATTTGAATTTTACAAAGCCAAGGTCAACCCCTTTATATTTCAGCTCCTATTACATTACTGGCAATAGCATTTCAAATGAACATAGAAAATGAAATACTAATAGGAGGGGGAAAGGGAAGACATAACTTCCCCTCTGGAAACAGGGATGACTGTCAAGCTTTCTCTTGTGGGTTCCTGCCTCTGAAGATACACATTTCGGGGATCAGAAACCTCCTAACTTCTGCTTACTCTTCTGTTTCAGGAGTCAAAACAGTTTTCAATCTTCCTATCTACATTCTAGGTGTCTACAATTATTCCAGAAATTACACTTGTTGAATTGTTTTTCACTTCTAATGCTATTGGGCAAATCTTTTGGGTACAATTCTGGTACTTAAGTAAGACAATGGAGGATTTATTATAATATCTAGCTAAAGATGGGCTTATCATTCCTTTTAAAGGTTTGAAATATTTTGATTGCATTTAGATACTGAGATGGATTTTTTAAAAAATACATGTTTATCACATGAAAAAGATTTTAAAAATTATTATTGAAAACCTCCCTACTTTAAGAAGCATGAATTAGTCATATTATCTTTTTAAAAGCCCTCTTTAGTTCCAAGGAGACAAAGAAAATTACTGGTCATTAAGTATGTTACATGCATGACGAATATTTATTATACCCAATGTAACAGCTTAGAATAAGCAAACGTGGTAGAGTTGTAATTTTTATGTGTTACATGTATAATTCAGCATAGGCCAAAGCCTTTTTATAATCAATGTGATAATTTTTTGGAATTTTGGATAAGCAGAGTAGAAAAATGTTTGATTACGTATTTCAAGTCTCAATTTTCGATTTGACTATCAAACAATGGCTTAGTCATAAATTAGGAGCTCTATGATGTTCTGCTTCCCTAACTGAGAAGATAGGAAGTAAGTGATACACTTTTTAGAGGGAATCCATGCAGTGCCTAGGTTAGATAAAGTGAATCTTTAGGGATCCATCTGGCTCTAGGAGTCTATGATCAGATGACTCCTAAGGTTTCTTCTAGCTCAGAAAACAATGTGCTTGGGACATAATTTTTTCCCCTACCTTCAACTGTTACATAGGTTACTCATGTAATTTTGCTTTCTTAATTCATTGCTGCTGATGTCTATTATTTATGTGATGTTAAATCTTTCATCAGAAATGCAACTCCAACAATAATGTTCTGGGAAAACATTCAGTTTGTGAGGAGTACACTGCAGTAAAAGTAGAGCTCATCCATGAAACATCAGAAAATGCTGTCCCATTAGAAGTAACTTTTCCCATCTATACTCTGATGGTATTGATTTAGAGTTACACTTTAAGATAGCTGATGCTAGTTCTACATGTCACATCCAAACAAAAAATAAATAACCCAAAAGTACATTTTTATTAACAACAAAATTATTAGATGGTACTTTAAAAGTAGGCATTTAAACTCAATGCCTGTGGGGAGCCTGGGTGGCTCAGTCAGTTAAGCATCTGACTCTAGCTCAGGTCATGATCTCACAGTCCAATCTCACAGTTCGTAGGTTTGAGCCTGTGTCGGGCTCTGTGCTGACAGCTCAGAGCCTGGAGCCTGCTTCAGATTCTGTGTCTCCCTCTCTCTCTGCCCCTCCCCCTCTCACTCTGTCTCTCTCTCTCAAAATAAAATAAAGACATAAAAAATTTTAACAACAAAAATATAAAAAAATAAACTCAATGCCTGAAAAACTGTAATGTGACATTCAATTACATCTGAAACTCTAAAAATATATTTAAAAAAAATCAAATATGGTGCACTGCAATTTCTTTAAGTTACTTCCTTTATTTCAAAGTGCCAAAAAGCTAAAGATGTTCTTATGCACACATATATGCTATGTGTCTCAGAATTTAAAACTATGCAAAGAATTTATCAATATGACTAAAAAATGAAGTATTTACACACTTCAGTGTATGCTTAATACTTATTTTTGAAATCTATTGCTGATCCTATGTCAAAAGAGCAATGACTCAACCAGAAAAAGCAAAGGCTGTCTTTTCTTTTCTAAAGTGCTTATTAGCAACCATACCCAAAAGCAATGGTTTTCAGAAATACATAACATTGAAAGGTGATCAAAGAGTCACTAGTTACAGATTCAAATATGCCATTTTGTAACTTTGCATATGTAAACTGGTTTTATCTGCATTAATGAAAGATTGCTTTCAATGGCCCTCAACTATATGCTTCAAATCAAGACAGTGCTATTAGTATCAGCAGCATGAACAATGACAGTAGAATAAATCCCAGCACATTTTAAATGCATCACAGCAGACTAGAAAAACTGTAACAGCTTTTGGATATGTTACATATCCAAAGATAAGCCTTCTTTTTCAACTCTGCATATATACTAAACATTAAAAAAGAATTAAAACCACTTTCTTGTCTCTTTATACAGCATTTTACTATATATGAAGAGATTAAAACTCTTGTACTATTTAACCTAACTCTTGTTTCTATAGAGAGCAGGCTTCACATTTTCAACATTTAGAACAAAGTCTATTTCCACCAAGAAAGCAAGAAGAAATTAACAAATGAAATACCTAACACTAAAAACCTGGGGGGGAAGGGGGAGAAACTGTGAACAATTCTGAAATGAACTTTTTTTTCTTTTTTAAAAAACGTTGATATAAACATTCCAAAATAGAATTTGCTTTCTGATAGTGAAATATCTGACTTCATTTCCGTCATATCACATTTATCTGATTTATATAATTTAGAAAAACTAGGCATCTTAACCTAACTGCTTTCTGTATCAGACTCATCTTAACTCATGCCCTCAACATGAACCATTCAACAGTCTCATAGTGAGCATCCTCTCGTGTCTCTATTTTACTCCTCCTTTCTCCCCTCCAAAAATCTCCATATATCCCAAGAGAATCTCCATCAAAAAAAACCCCACAACTTAAATATATATTGTGTTAATGCTACATTTGATTTAAAGTAGTAATAAATTATAAATTGCCAAATAACTTAATGTAATTCACAATGCAAATCCCTGGTAGAAAAAGAATCCATCTTGCCCTGAATATAGTACCGTAGTCCAGTGATTTCAAATTATTTTTGAAATAAAGGCAAAAATGAGGTGTAAAATACAATACTGTTTATAAAAGTTAAGTAAGAAACCAGTTACCATAAATCTTTTTACAAGGATAAATGTAATGTGCCTTCCTGCTTCTAAAAATTGTTAGGGAGGTTTCTAATTAGCAGTTTCAAAAATCACTTAAAGGAAACTAGAGATTGAACTACATATCATTTGTCAATATATGTCAATATAAAACAATAATACTGCAATAGTGAGTAATTTAAATTAATCTTTGGATCTGCTATTTTTTAGCAAGCATATTTCTTTTTCAAATTTTGCCTATAATTGATTAATTTTTAAATGTTAGTTTTCAAAAACTTTGCTACTAAAATACTATGTTAATAAGGAGATACCAGAAGTCTCAAATAGTAATAATATGCCTACAAAATAAAACAAAGATTGTTCTTGCATCTTTTGTTATTGTAACAAATACACTTTAAAATAGACAACATTGCTAGGCCTGGAAATTAAAAATACCCAAACCCTTAAAAAAGGAACAAAAAAGGAAAGAAAAATTGAAAATACTTATTTAAAAATAAATCTGAAGTCCTTGCATTTCTTAGGAACTTGAACTTGCTTATCTTCTATGGACCAAACTGTATCTTCCACCATTCATCCATGGAATAGGATGTTAATTCTCCATTTTGTAGATTTCAGTTTGAATTTTCTTGAATGTTTGCAAAGCTGGCACTGGACTTGAGACGTTTGGCTAGATAAATCAAAAGTATTATATTTTAACTTAAATTTAATTCTCTAAGCATAATTATTCATTATTTTTATGTAAACTATAGTAGTCATCTATTAATTCTATGTTTGAATCAGAATAGACTCAATCTTCTAAGAATTAAAACCCAAGTCTATTTTTTTCTACTAACCTCAAAAAATATAACTTTGCTTGAAGCCACACATGACTTTATTTGAAGCAGTACCAAATAAAACAGACATAATTTATATCATTTTGAACATCACAATCTCAAATATGCAATATAGGTAAAAAACCAGAAATATTACAAAGTACAATAATAAAATTACATATTTAAAAGTCTAAGTTAGAGATTCCAGGGGTGGTTCAGTTGGTTAAGCATCTGAGTTCCGCTCAGGTCATGATCTCACAGTGTGTGGGTTCGAACCCCGTGTCGGGCTCTGTGATGACAGCTACCTCAGAGCCTGGAGCCTACTTCGGATTCTTTGTCTCCCTCTCTCTCTGACTCTCCCCTGCTCATGCTGCCTCTCTTTCTCTCTCAGAAATAAATAAAACATTAAAAAAAAAAGTCTAAGTTAGTGGGGTGCCTGGGTGGCTCAGTTAGTTAAGCATCTAACTCTTGATTTCAGCTAAGCTGTGATCTCAAGGTTCCTGTGTTCAAGCCCTGCATCAGGCTCTGTGCTGACAGTGCAGAGCCTGCTGGGAATTCTTTCTCTTTGCACTTTGCTTGCTCGCTCTCTCTCTCTCTCTCTCTATCAAAAATAAATAAATAAACATTTTAAAAAGTCTAATTTAGAAATCCAAATCAAATTTCTCTTAAAATAATTCTGTAATGTCAAAAAACTGTCAAAGAAAAGTTGAAAAAAAACTTAAATGGCTTACAAAACAAGTGAATGATATTACACATATGTGCACATACACACAAATACATATGGCAGCTAATATGTACAATCAATTTTTATTATGATGCTAATGGGACTGAGCCATTAGGGTTAATAAAGGAAATTATGTCTATTTTGCTTTGTAATGTTTGTGCTTATAGTTAAACACGAATGTTTCTCATGTCCCATAAATGAAAAACAACTATAAAATAGTAAAAGTATCTTACATTGAATAACTAGGAATCTCTCTACCTCAGAGGTTTTTAACAGGAGAGTAGAGGTTATGAGAAGGTCTGCAGTGGGACCCAGGCATGTGCTTTTTTGTTTTGTTTTAAAGCTCTGCAGACAATTCTGATATGTGGTCAAGGATGAAAACCAATGTTCTGGTTTTATCAGGGTCTCTGCTGACCACCACTCTAAGATGACAACATAACTTTCTGGACCAGTGTCCTGCTTCCAGCTAAACTAAAGGACAACTTAACCTAAAAAATAGCCCAAGCTAGAAATCTACTCTTAAGCTTCTGTGGATTTGGGAGACAAACTAAATCAAGAGGGTTTTTTCCTATGTTGTTTAAAGTTTCTTACTACTTACCAAATTTATTAAACTAACCAGGCAGCAATACCAATGAGTACATATATCTACAACTTCCTTGCTTCCTTACTCTCTAATAAATTCCTACATCCTTCAAAATTCTACTCCAAGAGATATTTAAAAAAAAAAAAAAAAAAAGGAAAGAAAGAAATTCTACCTCAAAGATCTAGGGATAAATTCCAACAGCCCTAATGCATAGTCAGTCTTATTCTCTGTGGGCCAACCACACTGTATACCTTTAACTACTTTTGTTGTAATAATTGGATTACGGTCAGTGTGTTCTTGGAGGGCACATATTGTACTTTGTTCCTTTTTTTTATTTTTTAAATCCCTAATTCCTACCACAGGACTTAATGAATGGGGGCATATAAAACTGTGGCATAAAAAAAATAAATAATAATGTCCATGAGATAACAGCACAAGAATTATTTGCTTACATTAGCATTTCCTTAAATTCATAAATCAATTCATAAACAATGCTTTCATGAAACATTAACAGGTATTATGGAAAAGTCCTATTGTCAAGTTTTGGGAATATGATCTCAGAACCTTTCATTTATATTCAGGTACATTATGAAGATTATAAAAAGGAATTTCACAGGCCTAGTTATTTTAAGAAACACACCCTAGGAAATGCTAACATTAGATACACGTTCTTTTATTCAACAAATATATTTGAGCATCCCTGCTATAGGCCCGGTACCTTCTGGCTACTGATGAGATAGTGGTGAACACGATAAACAAGACCCTTGTTCTGATGGAGCTTCCAGTTGAGTCAGGAGAGACAAATAAGATAGAATATAAATGAAAAAGCTAAATCAAAAAGTGATTAAATGTCATCAAAGAAAGATGATAGGTATAGGAGAATTAAAAGAACGACGTATTCTTAGGATAGGGGTCATAAAATGTATCTTTGAATAAGTAGTCTTTGACGTAAGACCTGGACGACAACGAGCTAGTCAAGGATGGCAAGGAGGACCAGTGCAGAGCTTTGGGAAGGGGGCAGTGTGAATGAGTTTGGTGTTTGTGAAGGGAGCAAAAAGGCCAGGCTGCCTACATACAGCATCATGAGCAAAGAAAGGAGTGAGTGCAATGAGTTTAGAAAGGTAGATGAGGAGGGTGGGGCAGGTCACACATAGCTTAGAAAGCAGACCCCGGAAATAAGTTTTGATTTTATTGTAGATGCAACAGGAACACAGGAAGGGTTTCAAGTGGGAGAAAAGCATAGTAACATTTGTGTTTAAAAAACTACTCTAGCCTCTATATGAAGAATGGATTGTTGTGGGTCAAAAAAAAAAAAAAGAAAAAAAGAAAAGAAAATGGAAGCAGGGATACCAGTTAAGGGACTCCTGTATTAGGAGAGGTAAGAGATGGACTGGGCTGGGCTAGGGTATTATCAGTCAAGGTAGAGAAAAGATCATTTAAGATACATTTTTGGAAGTCCAGCTGTCAATACTTGCTGATGGAGTGAAAAAGGGTAGGGAAGAGACTATGGGAATGGGGAAATAAAATAGAAACGAATTAAGAAAGTAAAGATAACAAGATTTGTGGCTTGTACAAGCAGATAGATAAAAGTAACTTTGAAAACAAACAAAAATCCAGAAGCACTAAGTATCTTCCACAGAGTTAAACTAATTTACAAGGCAAATATGATGCTAAACTTTAAAAGTATACTAGGCCTTGAAAAAGAAAGTTTCTCAATAGTGAGGTCCCTGCAATGTTTTGTTGTTATTATTCTAAATAAGTGCCTTTAGGACCCTGTTACATATTTTATAAAATGCTAGCAATCTTTGAAAAGCTTTACTAAACACACTCATATTAAAGACTTTTCCCTCTATTAGCTAGCTTTTCAAGGTGACAAGACATTACAGATTCAGTTCAAACAGATCTGCAAGTATCCTTTTTTAGGATAAATATATTTATCCTAAATAAATATATTTTATTTAAATATATTAGTTTTAGTTAAATATATTTTTTAGTTAGTTAAATATATTAGAAGTGAGGTTAAATAAACCAGGAAGAAGAAAGGCTAGAAAGAAATTTATAAGGGAAAGAAATTTTATATCATAGGTTCCTAGACTAGGACTATTATTTAAGAGGGGGGAAAAAAAGCCTAAGTTTTTTCTACAAAAAACATTCTCTATTTTAACAATTAAAATTATTAAAGGATAAGCCCATACCTTCATTCTGATTATAAGCAAGAAACCCACTAAACTTAGAAGCCACTCTTCTTCAGCTAGATGGGATCTTCTAGTTAGTGCTTGATCTGCTGTGTCCCATTTGATGGGGAATATGTGTGAGCACATGCTGTATGTCAGACAATGTCCTTCCAACTGCATTTCCAATTTATTCATAAATAAATTGTGTGTTCACTATAATTTCTTTCCAGGTGGCTCCGATGGACCTCTCCCTACTATGTCTATTCAGGTCTGCAAAACCTTTGTCGCTATTCTTCTGTTGTTGCCTACCTAATTCCAGGGAATCTAGCTCTCTCCGTTAAAATTTCTAAAAAGATACTGTATGTTGACTGTTGATCATTTGTACTTATGGACTTCTTACACATCTCTCCCATTAGTAACCATTAACTGTAACATTTGAAGCTGAGAGCTGTTTTAGTCTAATACAGTTTGAGTTTTTAGAATATACATAATTTCTAAAACAGGACTAAGTTTTTAAAATACAGGTTTTAGCTAAATAAATAGTTGTAAAAAGAAACTTACGTAGAATGAGTTTGCGTTTCTTTTGTTCCGAGTGAAGAAAGCTACTAAGGTAGAAGACAACGGGTAGAAAGAGAATGAAGACAGAAACAGCAATTACAGGCACTGTGTCACTGCAAGGGACCGAACAATTGAAAGTTCGACTCCAAAGTTTTCGAGTAATATTCATCTGGAATGACAGCAAATAAAATTACTTTATTTTACATTTAATTTGTCTTCATTTTATTAATAAAATAACAGGCATCCAGAATTTAAAACTAATTATACATCCCTAAAAAAATCTATTGATAGTTGAGGACAATTTCTTCTGTCCAGAAATTAGCTGGTTCACAATCAATCACTGTATAAGTTTATACCCATACAGAAATTTCATATTCTAAATTCGTAACACTGTCTAAAGAATGTCAACCTTTCACAGATCTCAAACAGAGAACTTGTATCAACAGGAACATACATGGTTAGACCATGCTTCATTTATTAAAAAAGATTTAAAAGGGGAACAATGTGAGGTGATGGATGTGTTAATTAACTTGGCTGTGGGAGTCCTTTCACAATGTATATGTTTATCAAATTATCACTTGTACACTTTAAATACGTTACAATTTCATTTGTCAATTATATCTCAATAAAACTGGGGGAGGAATTCAGCTCAAAAAACAAAAATTTTTTAATGTTACATATGTGAGCTTGTTGCAATATTTTTAGAATGAAAATAAAAACATCAACTAAATATATAAATACAGCTGCTCTTCAAGAGATGATTATCTATGAAATGTTTAGTACCTCACCTAAGATATTATGAAAGATTCACATGGCAAATAATTGTTTAAGTACTATCTAATGAATCATGGAAAGTTTCTTAGGTATTTCATTTAGCAGCATACATTAAAAACAGATACATTTAGGGGCAGCAATACCTCATTTTCATTGAGCTCACCGTTTCTGTTGAACATGCTAAGTGATTTAAGGAAACTAACAAATATAATGTAGAAAACTATTCTTGCCTGAATTTTGTCTGAGACATGGTTTGCAAATGGTGCTCTGTATGTTTACTGTAAGTTTTGCTTACTGTAAGAAGGATGCTCTAAAAACAGGTGGTCATGTTGATTTCCTATGTAATCCAACTTTTGTCAGAGAATCAATATTCATTTTCTTCATTTTAAAAATGATGAAACAGACTATTATTCTTAAAATAAATATTTAGTATTTACTGAGAGCGTACTGGAAGCAGGTACTCTTCAGACATTAGAAAGAGTAGTAAAAAAATAAAAATCCCCATGGTATATCCATTTTAAGTTTGATAATAAGTGCTTTTTGCCATCATGAATATTATTGATCCCCCATAGTTCACTCTGAGCTGCTATTCATATTTATCATTCTCAACCATTATGTTTATTAACTTTGACCTTTAGCTCTCTACTTTTAGACAGTAATTCCTATTTCCTTTGATGCCTCAACTCTTAGGCACCATATTCCCATAGAAAGGCATGATCGCCATCTAGTGGTGCCCCACATGAAGGCTGACTATACAATTAAGGAAAAATCTTTTTTGTTGACTATTCAATCAATACATATTACTAAAAGCCCACTATATGCCAGGCACTGTTCTAAATACTGGACAGTACACAGAAAAGGACAGGTGGTCCTTTTCCTCATGTGGCTTATATTTTAGTGAGAGGTGACGGACTGTAAATAAATAAACAAATTAAAATTTTCAGATGATAACAGATATAAAGAATAAAAGCAATGGGATAGGAAGCAATTCAAAAATGTCTTCAGAAACACATGGTAGCAGGGCACCTGGGTGGCTCAGTCAGTTAAGCATCTGACTCTTGATTTCGGTTCAGGTCAGGATCTCACAGCTTGTGAGACTGAACCCAGAGTTGGGCTCTGTGCTGACAGCATAGGGCCTGCTTGAGATTCTCTCTCCCACTCTGCCTCTATCCCCCTCAGATGTGCTCTCCCTCAAAATACATAAACAAAACAAAAAAGAAAGAAACACATGGTAGCAAAACCATAGATTTCTTGAATCAGCAATCCTGCACAAGAAACTGAAATGTAAACATATAACACCCACGCCTCTGAAAATGACACATATTATCAAATTTAAAAGACCAAATGTACCAAATTATCAACTCATTTATGAAGTACTTGATTAATGTTCATTTTGGTTTGGCAGATCAGTATATTCTAAAACTCGACTACTTTATAACTAGTTATTTCTGGTTGAAGACAACATATGCAGATTCCAATACACCCCTAAAGGGGATAATAATATGAAGGCACAATCAGCAAAATATGTATCATATCAGAAGTAAAGTACTTACTGCATCTTCCACATCAATGCATAAATGTGTTCCAGATTCAGCCTTATTTTCAAGTTCATTCATTTTTTGCATTTCACTGTAGACATTACTCAGAGTTTTGTATGCTTCACGACAGTTTTTGCAAACTTCTGAATAATTCCTTAACTGCATAAGACTGTGTATGCTCCCCTAAAATATCAAAGGCACATGTAATACACACAATAAACACTGCATCTCTTTAACATAAGTTATTTGCCCTCCTAGCAGACAGGAAACAATATAGCACATTAAAGTACTGAGCTGTGATGTTAGACAGGTTACTAAATCACTCTGAGCCTCAGTTTTGCCATCTATAACGTATTGCCACTACCTGTATTATAGGTCTCAAGGATTAGAGAAGCATGCACATAGTAAAATATTTTAGCACTTTCTAGTTGCCCTTAAATTTTGAAAACCACTGTACTAGCCGCTGGTAACTGAGAACAATAGCTCAGATGCCAAATTACTAATGCCTAAATCCCTGAAATTTCTTAAATCACCTCGTCATTTATATGGCTGCTCTGATCTATCTTACTGTTACAGAATAAATCAAATATGCCCTTGGCTGTGCTGACTTCAACACTGAAGTCGGCCTCATTGAGACAGAAGGCACTGTATTAATGGGGAAGGAAAAGGCACCAAAACTACATTCCCACTTAGCCCTCTTATGTCAAGATGTGTAATCCAGACCTCTCTAGTCAACGAAAAGGGACTAATGTCAAAGTATTATATAGCCTAAAATGAAGGTAGTGGATATAACATGTAAGCTATCATGTTGCTGAATCTCAAGTTTTTCCATTTCTGGGACTGACACTTGTCTTTTCAAGAACAAGTTCACTAACTAGTCAGTTCACATCTTTGCCTTCTATTCCCTTTTCCTTACTTTGTAGCCTGAAGAAATGATATTAACTCAATATCTGAATGAAAGAGAAAAGAAACAATTAAAGGCATGAAACTGACATAGCCCCCACAATGTTACCCTCAGCATCTATTTGACAGAGAAACTAAGTCTCCCTTTAGTTCTGCCACAAGAACTAGCACGTGGCCTGTTTTTCACAGAACAATTGTGCATTTAGCTAAATGTGTTTAATCAAAAACTGAACATAGAACCTTGATGGCAGAGTGTAATTTAGCCATTTATACGAAAGTTTAAAATGCACATATCTTTTGACAGCGCAATTTCACTTCTAGGAATCTATCAGACAGGTAAAGTCATACAAACACTCACAAGTTTCATGGAAAAAGACATGTTTGTAATAGTAAAATACTGAGCCAAAATCTCCATCAACATAGGGAGTGACTGAATAAACAGTGACATAACCAAACAATAAAAAGACCTGCAGTGTTTAGGGATTTTTTTTTTAATTTTTTAATGTTTATTTTTTTTTTGAGAGAGACAGAGAGACAGTGGGCAAGCAGGGGAGGGGCAGAGAGAGAGGGAGACTGAGAATCTGAAGCAGGCTGCAGGCTCTGAGCTGTCAGCATAGAGCCTGACGCAGGGCTTGAACCCACAAACCGTGAGATCATGACATGAGCCCAAGTCGGCACTTAACTGACTGAGCCACCCAGGTGCCCCAACCTGCAGTGTTTAAAAGGAATGAGGAAGTAGGATTCTAGGAAGATGATATTAGCACATGGCTTGAGTCCTGACTTCATCACTAAAAAGATTCAAGAAAGGAAAGGTAAATCCAGGCACTTGAATAGCACCTAAAATATAAAGGAGTGACATGCAAGTCTCATCACAGGAAGGTTGGATACCAGCTACTACACCAGTCCCAGAAACTAACCAGAACCAGAGACAGTCTTTTGTGAACCTCTATCCCCTGCAGCCACCCACTGTCCTCTAGAGATGTGAAAGGCTAGAACAATGGTCTACCCTGCCTGCAGACCCAGCCAGAAAATGGAGTCTTTCCACAGCCACCAAGACAGTTCAGGTTCCCAGAGAAGCCACCGGCAAACACTTACTACCCAAAGTGGATCTGGTCTGGAATGTAAACCCACATCCCAGCCCAAGCACTGAGCTCGGAGCCACTGCCACAGCCAATGTCACCAATTTGGCAGCTTCCCTTTTGGCCTCAAACTTTTTAGTTGGGCTCTTCTTTCCAGTTTGTCTCTAGTCTTAGGTAGAAAACCCTGAGGGCAAAGCATCCCCAGAGGGGAACTTAAAATACCCGTGAAGCAATAAGGGTGATCCTTCCCCATGATTGACTCCAGGATGATGAGGACGATGACCAATCTGACCTTCACTGTCTGCCTGCACTACCTGCCCATCTTTGCACCACATTTACCTTATGTAAACCTGGAAGTATTTTCAGCACTTTAGAGACAGTCTTTGGGATGCTAGTCCGCTGTCTTCTGGGCATTGGCCTCATAGAAATAAATTCGTCTCCTGTTTCATCACCAATCAGTCTCTGCCTTTGGATTTTGTCAGCAGCAAGTGGCCAAATCTGATCTGTTTGGGATCCCTGGAGCCAGGTGTTCTTGTATCCCTGTGCCTTGCTATACCACTATCTCTAGCTGGCTCCCCTCCCCTCTCAAACATGTGCGGGCGCAGGAGCGTATACACACACACACACACACACACACACATCCTACCTATAAAACACTAGAGTTCCCCAGGACTCAGTCTTTGGGGTCCCTTTGTTATTATAGCTTCACTTACTCACATCCGGTCTCATGACTTTAAACACCATCTGTACCTGATCTGATGATGATCAAAGCTGTATCTCCAGCTCGTACCTCTCTAAAGGCTCCAATTTCATGTATAACACTATTTCACATCTCAACTTAGATGTTTAAAGCTATTTTGTATTAATCTGTTCAAAACAGAAGTCTTAATCCTCAGTCCCTTACAACCAGTCTTCCCAGTGGCCCCATCATACTCTTAGTTACTTAGGGCCAAGGGCCTAGGGTAATCCTGCTTCCTCTTCTTCCTTCTCTGATCAACCACCAGTAATCTCAGGAATTACCCAATCTATCAACAAGTCCTGTCAGATATACTACCAAAGTATATCCTGAACTGACCCTGCATTTCTCCAACATAATAGCCAGTACCCCCGTCCACACCATTTCTCTCTCCTGTGACAGCCTCTGAATTAGGTTCCTTCTTTCCATTCTTGCCTAGGTTCAACTGAGTTTCTCCACAGGGCAGCCAGAGTACTATTTTAACATGCAATTCATATCACGTCACATTCCTGCTTTAAATGGCTTCCCATTGTGCTCAGAATTCAGTCCATATTTCTTCCTTTGTTCTGCACAACTCTACATGATTTGGCCTCTGCCTATCTTCCCATATCTCATTCACATATGCTCACTGTGCTCCAGCCAAATGGGCCTTCTTCCTATTCCTTGCACATACCAAGCTCATTCTCTCTCCCAAGGCCTTTATCCTTGCTTCTAAGAAAAACATTTTTCCCGTGGCTGACTCTATCTCAAAATTTAGAGCATCTCAAAATTCACCTGCTCAGACAGGTACTCCCTGCCCACCCTATCTAAAGTAGCACACTACACCCCCTTTCCAGGACTCAGTACTCTTAATTATCTCATTTCTTTGTTATTAATCTTACTCCTACTAGGACATAGTTCACAAGAACAGAAATCTTAGCTGTATTGTTTACTGCTGTCCTCAGGGCCCAGAACACTATCTCCTGGCACATAACAGTGCCCATTAAATATTGTTGAACGAATAAGTGAGTGCATAGTGCCAGCTTGAGGGAATTTTTGAAAGTCAAGCTATAAAAACCAAATTCCATATGGAAAGAGAGAGAGATTTCTTCCAGCCACCTTAGCCTGGTACAACCATCTTATGACATTGACCACATAAGAAAGTAAGATGAGGGGCGCCTGGGTGGCTTAGTTGGTTAAGCGTCCAACTTTCACTTAGGTCATGATCTCACGGTTCGTGGGTTCGAGCCCCGCGTCGGGCTCTGTGCTGACTGCCAGCTCAGAGCCTGGAGCCTATTTCAGAGTCTGTATCTCCCTCTCTCTTTGACCCTCCCCTGCTCACGCTGTCTCTCTCTCTCTCTCCTAGAAATAAATAAAAATATTTTTTAAAAAATTAAAAAAAAAGAAAATAAGATGAGCCTAAAAATGGACATAAAAAGAAAACAAAGTAAATAAGAAAAAAAAAACAAGCAAATAAAATGATTCAAAGGGCAAACAAATTAAACCTAGAAATCAGAGTAAATGCCCTAATGAAAAGTAATTCATTCAGCATACAGGAGAGAACTTTTAAAGATGAATTACAACTCCAAGTATGAAATAAATGTCCATGAGCCCATATTGATATAAATTTAATAAATGTGGAAAAAGTGGCAAATCTTCCTTACAGAAGATTTCTAAATAATTTAAGTAAACACTCCTCCAAGACTTAGATCTTAATTTCCCCACCCCCATTCTTGTTACTCAGGAACTTGCTTCCAAAGAATAGAATATGGAAAGAAGAAGAAAAAGGTAACTTAGCAAGCATTAAAGAGACCTAGAAAACACTACCCTGTCCAGGTGATCAAGATTAACATCATCAGGGATAAATCATGGTGATAGCATGTACCTCTGACAGGATGCAATGAGAGAGGTGCTTCACTTCTGTAGTGTTCTTCCCCCAAACCCATAATCCCAGTGTAACCATGAAAGAAACATTAGACAAACCCAAACTGAGGGACATTCTATAAAAGAGGTGACCAGTACTCCTCAAAATTATCAGTCATGAAAACCAGATAAAGACTGAGAAACTGTCATGGACCACAGTAGCTAAGTGTGGTGTAATGGGAAATAGATAGTCGGCCTTTGTTCCTGGTTCCTGGCACTGGAATATTCCTAGTGATAAGAGTGCCTTTTGTATGCTAATGAAATGACTGGTGGCTGGGGGTCCTATATAGCTTCAGGCTGAAGGCTGGTCACCAGAAAGACCAAAGCATGATTGATTGGGGGTTGGTACTTTTAGCACTACCTCTGACTTCCGAGGTGGGGAGAGGAGCTGGAGACTGAGTTAAACACCAGTAGCTGAAGTAACCAATTATGCCTACATAATGAAATCTTCATAAAAAAAATTCCTCAATGTTCCAAGAGCTTGCTTCCGGGTTGGTGCACACAGCAATGTGCTGGGAGCATGGCATCCCCAGAGAGGGCATGGAAGGCCTGCACACACATCCCTCCCTCACACCTTCTACACATCTCTTCCACTTGGCTATTCCTGACGTGTATGCTTTGTAATAATCAGTAAACATAAGGAAAAAGTGTACCTGAATTCTGTGAGCCAGTTAGCACATTACTGAACTTGAAAGGGGACAAACTGCGGGAACCCCTTGACTTTGTAGCCAACTCTAACGAAAGCGTAGGTAACCTGGCCACTTTGTGATTGACATCTGAAGTAATAAGGGCTTCTTGTGAGACTGAGCCCTTAAATATGTGGAGTCTGAGACTAATCCCAAGTAGTTAATATCAGAATTGAGTTGTAGGACACCTAGTTGGTGTCAGAGAATCAGAAAATTGGCTGTTGGTGTGGGAAAATCACTACACCCTGGGTGTCAGAAGTGTTATGAGTAAAACTAGCTCACTAAGGAAACAGAACAACTAAATGCAATCTGGAAATCAGGATAGAGAAGGAATGACTTTACTGGAAAAACTAGTGAACAAACTCTAGTTTAGTTAGTGGTAATGCACCAATCTTGGTTTTTCAGCTGTGACAATTGTACTATAACAATAGAAGACGTTAACATTGTAGAAACTGAAGGAGAGGTATATGGGAACATTTTGTACTATCTTTGCAATTTTGTTCTAAATCTACTATTATTCTAAAATTAAAACTTTAAAACTTTTTAAAAAGCAAATAAGTAATGTCATCAAATTATTCTTTTACAACTTAATTTAAAATGCTTCAGCAAAAAAACTAAACATATCCACACGTATATAAAGCAAATATGACAAAAGGTTGGTAATTATTGAATCTGGGTGATACATATAATGAGTCTTCATTATAACACTCTTTCAGTTTTTCTGTAAGTTTTAACTCTTTTCCTAATAAAAAGACTGGAAAAATAATACATATCATTTGCCACATTTATTTGCAAAGATCTGGGATAAAATAAAATCAGACTGCCTCATGAAAATATAGAAGTCCCAAAAGGTTTTGCTTTCAACTGGTATATACTTAGCAAAAGTGAGAGACTGAATATATGTGTAAAGAGATAGTTAAAAATAATCTGGCATTTCACTTCTTTCATCTGTATTTCCCAATGATTACCTACAATAGACATAGCTTATACTTAAAACAGTAAGAAAAACAGCACCTATTAGAGCAGTAAAAATTCTTGAAAATTAAAAAATACCTCACAACAAAAAAAATTAATATAGAAGCAATGAAAAGCAGAATGCCACACTGAGGATGTAATTAGTGATTTAGACAAGGACCTCTCCTAGAACACAAAAAGAAAAGCCAGAGAGAGAGAGAGAGAGAGAGAAAGAAAAAGAGAGGGAAAAAAGGAGAGATTACTTAAGAGAAAAAAGGAACATGGAGGAACCAGACCCAAAAGATTCAGTATTATCCATAATAGGACTGTTATAAGGAAAGAAAGGCCAGATAAGGCAAAGCAAAAGAAAAACTAAGTGAAAGTTACCTACAAATGAAAACAGTTCAAACTGGCATTGATTTCTATCTGAAACACTAAAAATAAAGGAGAATAATTCATGGGGAACTGAGGAAAAAGAATTCTGATTCTAGAATCATAAACCTAGCCAAGCTATTATACTTACATGTAAAGGCATCAAATGGATAATTTCAGACATGCAAAGATTTAGAAAGTGCATCTCCCAAATCCTTCTAACACAATATATAAAGGAGTCTAGTCAAACATCAAAACTCAAAATAGGGAAAGATAGAGAAAGGCCTGGAAAGGATAGTGAGCGCTGAAACAGTAAAATCTGAATAACTGCTAATACAATAGTTATTGGGGCAGGTAAGGGGTTTTGAAAAAGATATATTTCAAATTTAATAAAAATCTGAGTTTTAAATTTCAGAGTATTTATATAAATTATGGGATATGGGATTCTATCTTGATCTAGGAAGACTAAGTAGCTATTATGATAGAGAACTACAGATTCAAATATACTTCTTTAAAAAGTTAAAGAAAAACACTATGATGGCAGAATAGAATATATAAGATTTAAATTACAAATAGAGAAAAAAAATTGAGAAACAGGTCATTCCAGCAAAAGTCATGAAAAAGGAAAAAAAAAAACAAAAAGAGAAAATTGGGTGGCAGAAATTAGACCTAAAATAATAGCACAATACATGTGAATTGGTCACATTCATCTACTAAAAGATAGACTCTACGTTAAGTACAAAATAAAATCCATACATATATGCTACTTATATTAGAAATATTTTTAACTGTATAAAAAAGATTAAAAATGAAATAAAGATACAGGAAACATGCAAACAGAAAACAACAGGGGTGGCAATATTAAAGTAGAATTCAAGGCAAAAGCATTCAATTGGATAAAGATAAATATATAAACATTTTATATATTTATAATAAAAATACAATCTAAAAAGACATCAAACTCATAAACCTTTATAATCCCTACAACATAGCAACAAAATAATAAAATCAATACTTTCAAAAGCACAAGGTAAATTCATCCAAAATAAAATCATATGTAGAAACTTAGGGACAGCTTACATAGATACATAGAAATCTAGGTAACAGAACTTGTCTGGGGGTTTCAGCAAGGCACTTGGTCACCTAGCTAGACATGGCTACTGACTACGTTCCTATCAATGAAACAAAAACATAGATGACACAGGAACTTCTACAAAACTTCCTGAAAAGGAATCTCCTTGCCCTTCACTTTCTTTTCCCCTTCTCACAGAATAAATGGGGTCCTGAGAGCCTCCTAATACAACTCCTTAAACGAGGGGAGGGGGCACAAAGGGATAAACAATGTAGGTCCCAGAATCACCTTGTGGAATACAGCTGCCTATCATCTACCTGTGGACCATTCTTGTTTGTAATACTTATTTGAGGTCTCTGTTATGGCACTTTTGCTTATATTCTTCATAATATACTAACAAATTTGGCCTAAAAATAAATAAACAAATACAGAAATAAATATCACTTTTCATCCTATACACATATTCTTTTTAGGGGCGCCTGGGTGGCTGTCGGTTGAATATCTGACTTTGGCTCAGATCATGATGTCAACAGTTTGTGGGTTCAAGCCCCACGTCGGGCTCTGTGCTGACAGCTCAGAGCCTAGAGTCTGCTTCAGATTCTGCCTCTCTCTCTCTGCTCCTCCCCTGCTTGCTCTATGTCTCTTTCTCTCAAAAATAAACAGTAAAAAAATTTTTTTTAAGATTTTTTAAATAGGTAAAATATATTTAATCAAATATTGAGGCAAAGAATAAGCTGCCTATAGGCAGAATCATTTATTGCAGTACATAACACCTTTTGCATAAACAAAGTCAAGGTAAATTACTGTCAGAGAGAACAACATAGTGTTTTAATTAAATAATCACATACCTAAGTAACAGTGTTCATACTCAGTTTCTCATTGGATCATCACTACAAAATACTTAAAGGCAGACAGGGTAGATTTTACTGTTCCCACCTTACAAATAAGAAAACTAAAGTCTTGATGATTTGCCTAAAGGCTAGTAATGTAAGAATTTAGCAGAAATCTAGGTCTACTTACTCTTCTACATTGCATGTAAAGATAAATATCAATAATTAATACTAAAACATTTTTAAAATTATTTATTACTCATTTGTACAAGACAGCATTTTAATTTCAAGTATCATATATAAAATACCTGAAGGTAATGCTCAAAGCAGGCCAAGGTCTGATTAAATAGACTGAGGAAATTGAGCGTGCTATTTGATAACTCTTCGCTTGTGTTCGTTAAACAATCTGTCAAACAAACAAAAACACATATTAATATATCTCAAACAATTATAAACTGTCATTTGTCTCTCAAGCTATCATCTTCTGTTTCAAACTACAATAATTCTTTATTCAAACAAGTATTATGTGTTCTACATACATGAAGGCAGTATATATAGAAAAAACACAACTAAAAACATGCAGAATATTAATATACTGGCCTAAAAGATTAAACAGGTTTTCAGTTTTCATAGTTGACATTTTGCAGGGAGTAGAGGAAATACAACTTCACCCACAGCAATTGCACATCTGTGTTAATGAACCATGTCATGGTACCTGACACACACAGTAAAGGGATAAATGTGGGTGTGGGTGTGTCCCTTGTACTGCCTACAAAAGCAGTAGAAAGCACATGAATATGAGAGAGCAGCAGCAATTTCTTCTATACAAAGTATGTAACTGAAATAATTTTTTATTAAAAACAGGATAATTATGGAAAATAAAAACAAGTGAAAAAATAATTTATAAAGGAAGCTTCTCTGAACAAAAGAACTTAGTCTCTTCTATTTTACTGACAGCCATTCCTTTTCATTTAAAATAATGTGAAAATTAAACTAAAAGCTAATAAAGACTGGTCATCTTGTTAAGTACCACATTAACACAGTACCATCAAAAATTTTTCAATGATCAAGTGGCATTATAAAGCACAAAGGAGTTCATTCATTCAATAGGGTTAAAAATGTCTTCATCATTAAAGCACCCTGACTTTCTGATTTAAAATAAAGGAACTCCAGTAATACTCCTCTTTTGTGCTTTTGCAGGAATTGGGAGCATAATGTTATAAGCAGTGTGAAGCTATATATTTTAGAAATTAGTAAGTTAAGAAATATTAGTAATAATAAAGCTTCCTATAAGGACCAAGTGAAGTGGTTATTATGAATTTTCCACATCTCAGATAATCAATGCAGTCTCATCAAGGACAGACTAGCATAGCTTCTTTCTTAGTGAGGGCTCAAAGCACCAGCTCAAGAGGCATTCTTAAAGGTGTGGAGGATCCAAGTTAAAACACAGAGACCTAAATTATCATGACAGAAATTATTATACATCTTTAGATAAAGTATTTGGCATCCATTAGGAATTTGTATAAAGATCTCTGCTGTTTTACAAAACTAGTTTTATAGAGAACAACAGAAACAATTACCAATTTCTGAAAAATTGGGCAAGCTTCAGAAAATATAGTATAAACTATGAGAACTTTGCGCCTCAAGAATGTAATTAAGTTTAATGAGTATGAAAACAAAGACATTTTAAATTATAAGATACAAATAAGTCAGCCTAATGCTTAGTAAATTACCATGTAGATAAAATATATGAAAGAGGGGTTCTGGTTAACTAAACTTCTGGCTAACCATGAAGTTTTATTATTGACTTTTAAACAATTAAGATATACTAAGTGAATGATGATAGAATATGCCTTTCTAAAATATGCCTCTTTGCCATAAGGATTATTTTGAGCTGAAGTCACTTGAAAATTTCAATAACAAATGGAGAGAGCTTTCGGTGAATTGCCCTTATCTGCCCAAAGACAAATCTTCCAAAGGAACCTCAGTTGGCATAATTCTCTTCCCTGGGAATTTCATCAATTAGGTAAGATTGAGTCTCATCACAGGAAAGGAGACCAATGGAATAGAATCAGGAGTCCAGAAATAAACCCCAGCATATACAGTCAACAGGAGCTTAATTCACAGAGAAGAATCATTGTCACCAGGGGCTAGAGGAAATAGGGAGATGTTGGTCAAGGGATACAAACTTCCAGTTATAAGATGAGTAAGTTTTAGGAATCTAATGTACAGCATGGTGAGTATAGTTAACAATACTGTCTTATATATTTATATATCTGAAAGTGGCTAAGAGAGTAAATCTTAAACATTCTGACCACAAAAAAAAATTATTATGTAACATGTTGGAGTTATTACCTAACAACCATGGGGGTAATCATTTTGTAATATATATCAAATCAATACTCTTAAACTTATATGTCAATTATATTTAAATAAAGTTGAACAAGAAAAAAAGAAAAAACAAAGAACCAAAACACTTTATCATAAAACAATCGATGGTCTCATCAAAGCTTGTGACCCCGGTAATTATTCAACTGTCATACGCACAGGATAACTAAAAAGCATGTCAATGACAAGGCTATTCCTATGTTAACAATATACTTCTGATAACAGCTTAAAATTCTGTACAGGAGAGGGGCGCCTGGGTGGCTCGATGGATTAAGTATCTGACTCTTGATTTTGGCTCAGGTCGCAATCTCACAGTTTGTGATACCAAGCCCCGTGTTGGGCTCTGCACAGAGTGCAGAGCCTGCTGGGGATTCTCTCTCCCCCTCTCACTCTGCCCTTCCCTGTTCACGCACATGCACTTTCTGTCTTCCTCTCTCTGAAAATAAACTTTAAAAAGAGAAATATTTAAAATTCTGTAGACAAGAAAGTTTTACATATTTCCTTTACTACTTAGCAGATACTCTCCATAAGAACTAGTTTCCATGTTATTTGTAAAATGAATTTTAAGAGCTGAATTCGAGTCTCCATCCATTTCCAAAACCATCTTTCCTACCAAGACTAATATTATTCAAAGACATAGGAATTCTAAAGATAAAAGAGGTGGAAGTGGTACATGGATAACACTCTCTTTTTTATTGGGTTTCTAGCCTTCTTTTCATCAGCTGAAAACTGCAGAGACTTGGTGTCAATCTGAGCTAGATCAAATAGAAAGGAAAGGTATTTTTTGGCAGTGTATTAATTTTAATATTTTTAAAACAAAATTTAAGCTCTTATATTTTAAATAATATTTTATAATTTTTTAATATTTTTATATTTTAAATAACATTCCATTTTAAAAACAGCCCTTTGAAAGATTTTTACCTATATAATTATAGTTTTGCATTTGCTAACAGAGAAGATGGGAAAAAAACAGTCATTTTGTATCAAAATATACATTCCTACAAAATGGATTACATATTGGCTTAAGTCTCCATTAAAAACAAACTTTTAAAACACATCAGTACCTTTTGTTCATTCTTTGTAACTTTTTTCCTTCCCATTTAATCTTTTAGGTGCTAGACTAAATAGACTCCATATCATTCACCATTAAAGAATCCTATTGCTGGCCTCACTTATCAGAGGTGTATTTGCAAATTTAATAACTAGATCATAAAAAAAAAGGTAATGGAAACAAATGGGTTAGCGGCTTGAGTTTAATAATTTCACACAAATTCTGAGAAAACTGAGCAGTCTTTTTTGTATTTAAATAAAAAGGCAAATAATCCAGAAAATATTTTTGAAAATTTATATTGTGATTTTAATGTATATACTGTAGAGGAGAAAAATAATTTTCCCTTTATTTTTCTAAGTTCTCAGCTGGGGCTCCTTTAACAAAAGACAGATAACAGGAGAAAAATGGAAGTTTATTAACTTGTATCTTTTATATACACATAGCAGACATAAGTAACTCAAAGAGTTGGCTTAGAATTCAGGCTTAAATGCCACCTTCAGCTAAAACCAAAGAAAGAAGAGTATGAGGGAGGCCAGTTATGACGAAGTGACCAGGAGAATCATGGTAAACAAGTGTAAGGTTTGTTATGCAGATACATGTCCCTGGCTTCTCCATTTTTAATATCCTTTTGTGATTTGGAGTCATCCTTTTCTTGGTACAGAGAAGGAAATAATCTTACAAAAGGAGGTTTCCTTAATTAATACAAATTTACCTCATAAAATGGTTACTTCTATTCTGTCTTCAGAGCTTCTCCTGTGTCTGCTGTTTATAAAAAAAAATCAGCTCAAAATAATCCTTATGCCAAAGAGGTGTATTTTGGGGTGGCATATTCTGGTCTCATACAATACAAAATTACAACATCCAGGCAAACTTCTGACCAGGCAATTCCTTTGAAATTATTACATAATAGGACTGTTGTCTTCCATTTATTAAAAGACTAAACACCCCTTGTACTCTTTTACATATTTTTAAAGGCCAGTGATTCAAAAAAGCAATGACTGGGAAGGTAGGTAACAGATTTTCTTTCAAGTGAACAAGTAAATCGAACACTTTATTATCATTCAATAAGAAAATAAAAGAGTATGGGGTACCTGGGTGGCTCAGTTGGTTAAGCATCCGACTTCGGCTCAGGTCATGATCTCATGGTTCATGGGTTCAAGCCCTACATCAGTCTCTGTGCTGACAGCCAGCTCAGAGCCTGGAAGCTGCTTCAGATTCTGTGTCTCCCTCTCTCTCTGACCCTCCCCTGCTCACACTGTCTCTCTCTCTCAGAAATAAATAAAACATTTTTAAAAATGTTAAGAAAATAAAAGAGTAAAGATTCCATGAAATCAGTGTTTTAACAGGTCTGGTTGCTAGAGATGCAATTTCATGAGAACCTGACATGGGATCATTGCTGAACATTAACATTTTTCTAGAAAATGTGCAACTCTAGTGCCTTCTTAGCGCACTGGGCAGTGTGTCAATCTCACAGAAAATGTGCAACTCTTAAAATTTTTTTCACATTATCTAATTTTAATTCTATGTAGTATTAATTGTTCTTTATACAAAGACTATTTTATTTTACATTTATATTTGTAGTAAAAGATGGGCTTTCCATAATAACAAGCATATATACAGCATAAATGTTAAACTTTTGTGGGTTAATTACAATGTATTTGTATTTCTTAGAGATTGTGCAATGAATTTGTCAAAAAGCACTTCAAAAAACTAAATTAGGCATTAACTCGAATTTAGTTCTAGACTCTGAATCTGCAGTTCATCACACTCTCTGAGCCCTCACTCTACCGCCATAGGGCTTATTGTGAAGCTCAAATGAGACACAAAAATTGAGAAATTTTATTTACTTATCTATCCATCTATTTATTTACTTTCATTTTAAGATTTTATTTTTAAGTAATGTCTACACCTGATGTGGGGCTTGAACTTAAAACCCTGAGACCAAGAGTCACACACTCTACCATCTGAGCCAGCCAGGCACCCTGAGAAATATTAACTGCTAACTTGTTGCTCACCTTCTTTAACTCCTCATTTTTTCTTTCTTTCCTATTTCTTTCCTCACTACTTTGCAGGAGAAGATTATGCTGCTCAAGTAAGAATGCTTTATTAAATTTTGTTAAAAAATTAAAGTTATTTGAACAATTCCTTAAAATTTTCAGAAAATGTTCACATTACCTTTATTAAATATGCTTCCAAAGAGCATAATCAGAAGTTTCCAGGTAATTTTGGTAGAGATTATTAATTTTAGTTAAGATGATTATTTTAGAATGTACAAAACAGTTGAGGAGTACATACTTATAGAACTATTTTATTTCCACTTAAAATATAGAACATAAGTTATGATGAAATTTTAAAACAGGAATGAAAAAATGAATGGAAGATAATTTTTTTAACGCATAATGCTTACATATAAATACTCTAAATTTGGACATTATGTTAAAATTTTTAAATGTATTTTTGAATAGGTATTAAATGCATATGGCATAAAATCTAAAGGGTACAAATGTTAAGTATAATGAAAACTAAGTCTTCTTAGTTTCCTAATTCCTTAAAAGATGTCATACTTCTCTGCACCTTGCTTCTTTTACCTGACCATATGTCTTGGCCAAATTAATTTTAATTAGGAAATAAGCATTTCATTTGTTCTTCAAAAGAAGTTCAATTAAGGAATATTTACAAGATAGGATGGGTCACAGAAAAACAAATATATCCTAAAAATTAATTTGAAAGAAAGAGTTTTATAACTACCATATCAAGTAAATATGCGGCAAAAGGTTTATTTCTTTTTTAACTAACTGGAGAAGAAAGCTACTTTGCATTAAGGAAGTCTTTGTCACAAAATAACTTTTAAACAAAAGATGCTTTGCCTCTCAAGTATAAAAATTAAGTCACACCATGGGGCGCCTGGGTGGCTCAGTCAGTTGGGCATCTGGGTTGGGCATCTGACTTCGGCTCAGGTCATGTTCTCGTGGTTTGTGGGTTCAAGCCCTGCATCGGGCTCTGTGCTGACAGCCGGCTCAAGAGTCTGGAGCCTGCTTCAGACTCTGTGTCTCCCTCTCTCTGACCCTCCCCTGCTCCCGCTGTCTCTCTCTCTCTATCAGAAATAAATAAAACATTTAAAAAAATTTGTCACACTAGTCAAAAGAAGTGAAACCCAATACCTTTCCCACTTATTCTAATTAATTTTAAATTACTTACAATTAACATATTTTTCTATATTAATGGATTTTTTAAGGGTTTAAGCATACTTAAAAACAGTTCTCCTATATAGGATAAGCAAACTCTGTTCAATCATTTTGAATACCAACTATATATAAATTATGTTCAATCATATTTATACTAGAAATGTTTACACCAAAAAAGTAAAGCTTTTGCTTTAAAAAAAAAAAAAAAAGTAACTGTCAGCCAAGCCTCTATTCAAATTACCAGAAAATCTGAATTTATAGAGACAAAATAAGAGACTCAATATTCAATATACCATGGTATACTGCAAAGGAAAAGAAACTTAACAGGGGTCTTTTTGCCATTTACAGTTTTTCTCATACGAACTAAACAAAAAGACAAGTCTTAGAAAAGTTGAACTCATTAATGACTTACAGGTATACAGATTTTAAATCCTGTCAATTTCCCCTGCCTGTGTTCTACATTGTGCTTTCTTTGCTTTTTGCCTAAACTATTGTAGTAACTTCCTCATTGGTCTCTCTCTTCCTCTTCCAATGGGGTTCCATAAAAAGAAAAAATAAATGGTCTTTGTAGTAAAAATAAATAAATAAAATTAAAAATTAAAAATTAAAAAAATAAAAGAAATAAAAATAAAGTTAGGTTTATCAAGCCATTAAAAAAAAAAAAGCTACAGATAGTGACTGTACTTACCATGGTGAGCACTGAATAATGTATAGAATTGTCAAATCACTAAGTTGCACCCCTGAAACTAATATAACATTGTAGGTCAATTATACTTCAATAATATTTTTTTAATGAAATAAAGAAAATAAAACAAGAACAGCTTGGAAAGCCTTAGGTTAAATGTTTAAAAAAAAATTTTAACCTGTAGTTGTCTTTACTGCCTTTAATATTTCATGTATAGTATGTCCAACATACTATACTATGTAACCATTTCTTAATAATATACTGGCAATAAACTACTGCATCAGTCAAGGTCCTACTTTCCTTTTCCAACTTTATCTCCCATTGTGCTTCCAGACCCTGGAACACTACAACTCCTACACCTCTGTCCATGGTGCCTTGCTCTCTGCAGTGTCCTTCCTCTCATCTACTTATTGAAATCACACCTAGCCATAAAGAAATAAGATCAAAAGGTACCTACTCTAGGAAGTGTCATTTCAAATTCTCCCCAATATATTTTCAATGTCCCCCAAGTATTCGATAACCTTATTAAAGCATTTATTTATGTACCTTAGGTTATCCTATAACTTTCTCCATCATTAAATTATAAGACATGGAAAATAAGAACTGCCTAGTACACAGCTGGTATTGAAAATACTTACAAATTGAAATAATGGTTTTAATTTTCCCGAAGAGTGCCTGAAAACAGATCTCACTGTATTATACAAATACATATAAACCTGCAGAACTGGTGGAACAGATGTTATCACCTCCCACCACCTCCTTTTGACAGATTATAAACATCATAATTATTACATTAAACAGTAAATATTTCCTCAACATTAACTATGTGCCAGCTACCCAGCTAAGTTCTTTACACAATATTTTTTCACTTAATCCTAAAAACAATCATATAAGCTATTATTACTCCCAACTTACCCCCAAATCAGATGAAGAAACTAAAGGTGCAGGGGGCAAAGTTACATGCCCAATATCTGACTGCCAGTAAGTCAAGGTTAGCAAAGTGGCAGAGCTTAGAATCAAGGCCAGATCTGTCTGACTGCCAAACTTTTCCCGTTAACTGCTACACTTTTCTGCCTTTCAGTATTTGCCCAAGTAATTCCCACTAATAAACCATGATGCGAGCTTAGTAATAAAAAGTATTATCTAGCCTCAAAGATCTCAAAATTCACTAAAATAAAATCTGACATCTATACTATTGAACCATAACTGCAACATGAAAATGAAAGAATTACTTACTTGCACAATTTGCCTTCTGCCACGTGGAATTAAAAAACTCTGACAGAATCACAACTATTTGCATTCTATCTGCCATTAAGAGGCTTCTGGCACAACTATGACTCTCTGACGTATTCTGTAACAACAACAAAAAGAAAAATACAATCTGAGTACTTTCAGACTTCCTAAACAACAATATAAGGCAAAAGATCTCATAAAAATAATTAAAATATTTATTAGAAGCATTTTAACTGTTTGTTTGCTGTAAGCAAATAATGATATCATTACTAACCATAAAGCAAAAGCAGCTAATATTTATTGGTACTAGGTTCACTAGCAAGGTAATAAAATCTTTGCTTCTTAAATAAACACTTGCTTCTATTAAGCAGTCTCAACCATTTAGACCAAACTGTGTGTGTCATATTTCTTACTTTTTATACATAGGAAAAAATTCTGGAAAGCTTTCATCAAAATGTAGCACTGGTTATCTCTGAATAACAGAAATATGGTGATTTTTATTTTCTTTTTTGCCTCATTTACACTGTTTAAATTTGTCTACAATGAACATATATTATTTACATAATTTCCTTAATCCGGTGGGTAAATGATCACAAAACATTTGAGTTTCATTTTCTGGACAATTTTTGGTGCAAAAATCTTATAATTCACAAGACAATGTGACACATCCAGTTTGTACCCACATAGTTTATACCCAGATAAAATAATGCTTTCCACAGATCATTTTAATAATGAAGCTCACACTGCAAATAAATGAATCCAAGTCCCTAAATTATTTTTAATAATAATTATTTAATAATAATCATATTAATAGATCCTTATCTATTCCTTTTTCCCTTCTGTCCCAAGCAAGGAATTAAGTCATGCTGACCCTTCATTCTTTCAAAGCTATTTAACTCCTACTACTTAGTAGGCACTGTAAGAATCCTGAGGACACAGAAAGTGTAAGGGAATGCCATAAACACTGGGACTTCAAGAACCTCCCCAGATTAACTGCCAAGTCTTGTCAAGTCTACATTCTACACAGCTCTGAAATGTGTCCATTTCTCCCCATCACAATGGTCTAGCTACCATTTACCACAACACCAGAAGAGTCTCTTAATTTACCTCTCCATACCTACTCTGCCCCTAACCTCCTCAGTCTCCGTCTCCTCCACTTTCTCTCATGTAACTACTACTGGCCTGTACATAATAGGTACTCAATAATTTCCCTGAATGAATGCATTAGAAGCATTATTTTCTGATCGCTAATGAAAGATACTGATTATTATGTTATTCCATGTTCTGATTTCCCCCCTATATTCTTAAGAATTTGTGTATTAATATATACACAAAAAAGTATGTTGAACACTTCCAGATACATACCCCAATCACTAGCACCTTAGATAGATATATGCATATGCATATATCTATATCTATCTATATTTATATCTACCTGTGTATACTTTAAACAAACCAAGTAGAATGAAATAGAGCTAGGCAATTCAGAGTTTGTGAGGCCAAAACATCCTGGCAACTTCTCTGAGGATGCTGAACAGCTCAATGAAACCACTATCCATTTAAATTAAAAGAAGAAAGTATGACTCTAAAGAGGGAATCAGTCAGTTCTGTGTTCTTTACCTTCAGATAATAAAACTATACATGGTCCTTGTCTCAGTAATTCCAAGAGGAAGTGACAAGAAAACAGAATTCATATCAGACAATTCTACTATAGTTAAATGAATTAACTTGCTGTACCAGAAAAACAGTTTGCTAATTTCTACTTTAGATTATTTTTCTCCTTATTATACTCCCCCCGCCCCAATCAATCCATGGACATGGATTCAGCCTAAAGAGATGGTAAAGGGTATCTTATTCAAAATTCAGCTCATAGGTTTTCTCTGATTAAGGCCCCCTTGTTCTGTCCCCTCCTTTAATTCAGTATCTCCTTCACCCTTCTGCTGTAAATTGCTATTGTACCAATTATAACATTCACATTGATGATTTTTCCTTTTTTTTTTTTTTTGACAAAAGAAGTCTATTTCCCCAACTACACTGAGAGTTTGGAGCTTGGGCCTTATCCTTCTTTTCCTCCTGTATTGTTTTACCAGCCCAATATTTAAAAATAACATGTGCCTGCTGATTAAACAGATTTAAATGAAAGACTGAGTTTATGTGAGTCAAGCAAAATACATTACTCTTGAGAAATAAACACCCCTACACACATACACACACACACACACACACACAGAATAGACAACTGATTCCTTCCAGTTCATTCGTAAGAAACTCAGAACACTTTTTTTTCCAGAAGTTCATTATCACACATGATGATTCAATTCCAGAACCAATCCAAGGAAGCCTATAAAATCCATGAAGTAACTCAGAACTGTAAAAATCATGCTTCTGAGCTAGCAAAGCACATCCAGCTCTACTACTGAGGAAGGGGAAAGAGGTCAAGATCTAGGATGAGTTGGAGAGGAATTCCAGATTGCGTGAAGGGTTTTTCTGCCTTTGAAAAATCTCTTTACTCTCTTCCTTTCACACAAGGGTTAGGTAAGTCTGGTGCCCAGATCACTGGTAGAATCTGAGAGGCACAAATGAGAGGAAGGAAGTTTCTGCCATCCCCCACACTGGGAAGCCTCCCTTGGGCAGTGAGGAATTCATGTGGAAATTCATACACAGAATGGGTGATTGGTACCACTAGAGTTTAGTGTAACTTTCTAACCTCTTAATTCCACAGTATCTACAAAATGAGGAAAGCATTTGCTCCCTCAAAATATTCAAGCTTTACATCATGACTTAGTCATCTTGACCCAAAACAACCCACCTAATCGCTCAAAACAGATTATGATGTTCTATCATACCTTGCTATTGTGAAGTCTTGGGTGCTGTATTTTAAAATCATAGGAAGAGGGGCACCTGGGTTGCTCAGTTGGTTAAGTATCGTACTTCAGTTCAGGTCATGATGTCACGATTCGTGAGTTCAAGTGCCACAGCAGGCTCTGTGCTAACAGCTCAGAACCTGGAGCCTACTTCAGATTCTGGGTCTCTCCCTCCCTCTGCCCTTCCCATGCTCATGCTCTGTTTCTCTCTGCTTCTCAATAATAAATTTTAAAAAACATTAAAAAAATAAAATAAAATAAAATCACAGGAAGATAGACAGGTATCTGCCTTGTTATACCTAATAGAAGTATGCCTGAAAAATATTGCAGTAAGCCTAAATTTACTTAAACAGTGTTAAAATCAAACACAAATGGAGACCAGACTTGAAATTCCCTGATCAGACAAAACCAGTTTAGTCATACAAACAAAAACTTAATTTAGCTTACTTTGCAAGACCAGCAAGGCTACCTTGACCTGGGCTACTTCTTGCTTATCACTTTGAAAACCAGACGCCAGACTTAAACTGTTCCCCAAAATTGATATGAAGTAATCACTAACCAATTCTCTTTTAGAAAATTCCTATGAAAAATAAAAAGAAAATTCCTATATTGTAACCAACACTGTGAAGAATTAACAGTCACTGTTCTCTACTATGTAAACTGCTTTATAACAATGTATCTCTTAGCCTCATTTCATGTTTTAATTTGAGTGCTCCAGTTTACAAACTGTCTTTTTTTTGGTGTGTGCAGGACAAACTTTTACTAATTGCTACTTTGGTGATTTATTGGTTTCCATTGTTTTTTCCCAAACTTGACAACTACCTTGAAAACTAGCTCTTTACAGGAAGACTGACCTCATAATTTATTTAATGCAAATAAATTTCCTATATATGTAAAAAAAAAAAAGATTTATGTTAAGTAATATCAGGCTGACTTAAAGCAGGATGCAACTCTATATAAGTTATTTGTCAGATCAACTATGATTTATGAAATAATTCCAATCACATTTTCGTAAGACTACTTGTCCCTTCAATACAAGAGGAACTTTCTCCCTCCCCTCCACAATCCTAATGTAATTCCTCATGTTTTTCCATTACAAGGCATATCGGGCCTACACCTCATGACTCCTACCAGCGCATTCTTATCCTTTCCTATTCTAAACCCTATAGATTTCTTATTCGTAGGAACATGTATTCTTTCTCTTTCTTTCTTCCTACTTTCCTTCCTTCCTCTTTTCTATTAAACCCTTCTCAGGACCTATCACATGACCAGAAAAGCACTAAGGGTACCAAGAATGGAGGGCAAGTCTATCATTTCCTAAAATTTTAACTCCCATTTACTGAGAGCTATTATTATGTGCTACTTTTCTAAGCGTTCCTTTCATCTTACAGATAAGAAAAATAGACATAGGGAATGTAAGTTATTTGACCAGACTAAATGGCTAAAAGACAAACTTTCATTTGTTAGCTCTTGTAATCCTTGTGACAGTTACAACAGGCGGGTGGGTTGGTTTGTTTTTTTTTTTCCATTTTACAGAGGGGGAAACTAAGACTATAAAATAATTAATTCAAGACGAAGCTGCTATAAAGTGGTGCATCTGATATTTTCTGCTACAAAGCTCAAGCTTCCTAACCACCGCCACACGCTATATAGTTTCTCCGCTCTACTTGGGGTTTCAGGAAAGGGCTCTTCCTGGGAACACCAAGTAGTGATGAGAAGAAGCTGTTTTGGAGTGGGGTGAAGAGGGTAAAGGAGGGAAGGGAAAGGAAAGGTAGGGTTAAGGGTGTAGAAGCCTCAAGAAAAATAACCATCCTATCTGTAAATATGTACGTAGCTGCCCAACAGCAGCCACGGAGGCAAAAATCCAAACTCCAAGCCCTATAATGCCACCCACTCTTCTGATGCCCCAAACTCCACAATCCCAGTCCAACTCCCCTTTCTTACAAGCAGGGAAACTGAGGCCCCCAGGGTAACCATCATTACATCCTCCTTTCCGAACCCTCCACGCCGGAGGTCCAGAGTAGTGCTCCTCTACCCACCCCTACGGCTCGACTGATGTTGTCCATCTTGCTGGCGACCTGTTGGAAGAGAGGGTAGCAGGTCTGACAGAGGCGCACCGGCCGGGCGCTGCGCACTAAGCACCCGGTCAGCTCTGCGCTGCTGTTGGCGAAGTCCAGTAACAGCTCCCGACACTCGGGATCCAGATCCGGCAGGTCCGGGGGTAGCGACAGCGGCCCCAGCCTTCCGCCCTGCAGCAGGGTCAGAGACAAGTCCTCCACCTCCAGCAACTGCTGCTCCGAGAGGAGGTCGTGGAGGACCCTGTGGGGGCTGCTGACCACGGCGAGCGCGCCCAGAGCCAGCCCCGACCAGAGAAGCGGCACCAGCAGCAGCCGCGGCAGAAGCGACGACCTCCGCCACGCGACTGGCGCGTCTAGCTCCATCGCCGGCCCCACAAACCCCAAGGTACTCAACGCCGCTTCTCCACCCGGAGCCGGCGCAGCTGACGGCCGCCGCTTCCGGCTTCCTCGGGCGCAGGCCGCGAGCCGGGTCACGAGGCGCGCGCGTCATGGCCCCGTCCCGGCGCGCGGCGCCCCGCCCCATTGGCTGCGGAGAGCCGTGCGCGCGCGTCCGGAAGCGCGCGCACACAGGCGGGTTCGCGCGCCCGGCCGGCTACAGGCACCTGACTGAGGGGATGTGCGACCGAGGGCGGCGTCCAGCTGTGGACCACAGAGCGGAGGCTCTCCCTCCCTGTGAATACAGGCATCCAGCGCTTTGAACAGCTGAATCTCGGGGGTCTTGGCCCTCGGTCTCCCATCGCTTTGGGAGTTCCCTGCGTTCTAGAAGTCTGAGTAGTCACTTCATTCACACAGCAGAAAGACGGACGACCTCCGCCGTGGGAATTACGAGTGAGTTCCCTGGGAAAACCTCCTGGCAGGTGCCTTTGCAGGTTTTTGCTTGGTGGTTTCTTAGCATAAGTTCCTCCCTCATGCTACTTGGAAGGAGTAATAACATCTGTTGATTATTTTGGATAGGGGAGCCTAGTGGCTTCCGAGCTTTTTTTTCCTTTTAACTTGAAAGTGTCAACGTCAGCGTTGTCCAATAGCCTTTCTGGGATACTGGAAACATTCTAAATCTGCATTTTCTAATACGGTAGCCACAGCCACTTGTGGCTGCTGAGCGATTGTGAGGTAGCTACGGCGACCGAGGAAATTAATATTTCATTGAACTTCATTTAAATGTAAATTGTCCCACCAGGCTCGTGGTGCTGTGTTGGAGAGCGTAGGACCAAGTTCCCTCCCAATGTAGCCTGGTCCTGGAGTGGCTCATGTCCGGGTTTGCTTGGGACTTGGGGTGGGGGTTCTCGGGGTGCAGCACAAACCTGCAGCCAGGGCAAATACCTGAGAGGTCCTGGTAAGCTCCCAATTTCTGACGTGCCCAAGGCCATGGGAAGAGACACATCCAAAGAGCGCCGACAGCAGTGTAAGCTAATGACCTGGAAAACGGTTTTCTGTCAAGTATCTGACGAACAAGTTTGGTAGACAAAATATTTCCTGATGTTTTGTATCGTCTTGTTTACATTTCTGCTTTGTAAATTGCTGGGCTACTGTACTAACTCCCATTCAGCTTATGGTGCTAATTTATGTGTCTGAGGGTTCTTAAAGTTACTTTTTACCCGGTCCGTTCGGCTATTGTTTTGTATTCCTAAATTTGCTTGCGATGGCTGAATTTTGTTTCATTTCCTTTAGCGAGAAACTGAATTAGTAGGGAATTTGATTTATATAACAATAAATGTATTTCCAGAGAAATAAGAAAAACGCAGTTGTCTTAATTTTCCCAAATGCTATCCTGTAACGTTTAGGTCTTCCTATCTATTTTTATTTCTATGTATCTAAGAGTTCTTTCAGGCATCATCATGAGTAAACTGTTTAAACCCTGAAAAGTAATGTAGCACAATCAACAGCATTCCATTCCAAAGGCAAATCTCTCTGGCCCAACAAGTCCCCTTCTAGGAATTTATTTTAAACATATACTGCCCTTGTATAGACACAATTATTAACTGCAGTATTGTTTGTAATAGTGGGGGAAAAAAAAGGAAGGGGTAAAAAGAATGTGAAAGAAATCATGGGCCCTTTTCCCCTTCCCTTCCTGGAACAAAGAATGTCAGAGCACAGGTAAGAAGAGGGGGACAGGGATGCCTGGCTCCCTCGGTAGGTAGGGTGTGGGACTCTTGATCTCAGGGTTGTGAGCTTGAGTCTCATGTTGGGGGTAGAGATTATTATTATTTTTTTTAACCTTAAAAAAGAAGAAGGAGCGGCGGGGGGGTGGGGGGAGGTTTGTGCATGAGTTTGAGCCCCACATCGGGCTCTGTGCTAACAGCTCAGAGCCTGGAGCCTGCTTCATATTCTGTGTGTCTCTCTCTGCTCGCACTCTGTATGTCTCTCAAAAATGAAAAACAAATATGAAAAGGGAGACAAGTAGAATGAACTCTATAGTGTTGGATTAGAATCATCAATACCAGTGACTGGAAATACATATAGATATAGAAATAAATATGCATTGTAAATGTATATGGGTGTGTATGTGTATGTATATATACATGCATGCACTGTGAGTGTATGTTTTCCCTGGCCTTGTCCACTGAGAAGGCCTGGTAGTACAGGCGCCCCATTAATAATAATAAATACATATAGGGCCCAGGTGGTGGCTTCTAAGTATTATTCTCCCCTAAAGGAAACCAAGAATCCTGGGAGAAATAACTGAATCCACCACTGGGTCAGGAAAAACACAAGTTTAGCCTGGATCATCTTGTGACAGAAAGCAAGAAAGTGCTCAAAGAATTGATGGGGACGTGAAACCAACATACAGCTTAAATAGGCTTCCACTGGCCAAACCTGAGATATTTTGAGCATCAAAATAATGATGGTCAACATGTTATAATCCATTGAATAAAACAGGAAACCACAAACCTATATTGATTTGTTTTAAGTTTTATTTATTTTTGAGTGAGAGAGAGAGAAGCAGGAAGGGGCAGAGGGGGGGAGGGGCAGAGAGAGAAGGGGAGAGAGAGAATCACAAGCTCTGCACCTACAGTGCAGGGGCTTGAACCCATGAAGTGTAAGATCATGATCTAAGCCAAAACCAAGAGTTGAACACTCAACCGAGCCATCCAGGTGCCCCGCCTATATTAACATATTTAAATAAATAAATAAATAAATAAATAGAATATTTAATGAGGAACAAGATATTAAGATATGTTCAAAGTTCCTCCCTCCCAAAATACTTATTAATTATAAATTGGAAAAAATGAGTAAATTTATAGTAGAGAAATCTGTCAGACCCCTTATTAATCAAACGGTCAATATGAATATCATCCAATTGGATAAATAGAAATTGTATGGCACCAGATGGAATGTAGTTAGAAGATCACAGCATCACTTCTGTTACATTCCTGCCAAAGATACATAACATGATGCTAATATGAGAAAGCATCAGACAAATTAAGCTTCACTCTATAAAACAGCTAGCCTGTAATCTTCAGAAGTTTATGGCTATAAAAGTCAGGGAAAGATTGGGGTGCCTGGGTGGCTCAGTCAGTTGAGCATCTGACTTCAGCTCAGGTCATGATCACATGGTTCGTGGGTCGGGCTCTGTGCTGACAGTTAGCTCAGAGCCTGGAGCCTGTTTCAGATTCTGTGTCTCCCTCTCTCTCTGACCCTCCCCTGCTCACACTTTCTCTATCTCTCCTTCTCTCTCTCAGAAATAAATAAAACATGAAAAAAAATTTTTAACGAGTCAGGGAAAGATTAAGGAACTGCACCTGACATAAAGGACATTATTGGAAAACTAACAAAATTTGAGTAGAATCCGAGAATTAGTTGGTAAGTAATGTATAATGTTAATTTCCTGATTTTGATAATTATATTGTGGCCATGTAAGAAAATGTTTTTATTCATAGAAAGTATATAGAAAAGCATTCAAGGATAATAGTTTATTAGGTCAGCAACTTACTTAAGTATTCTTCTGGGTGGGACAGAGTTGTAGGGAGGTTATTCTATAAACAAACTTTCAGACTTTTAGCTCCAATTTACCTACATTTTCAAAGGTGCCTCAGGTCCTGTATTTCCCATGTTACTTGAGAATTCTATAATGTAATTCACTTGCTCTTTTTTCACTGTAGGTTTAGGATTCAACTCTTTTGGTGCTGCTAAATCACTTGTCACTAGTCCAGTTGCTTTCCAGCTCCCGACAGTCTTATTTTTTGTTCTCCCCTCCTGCTCTCCATGTCTTTGTGTGTCTTTTTAAAAATCCTTTTACTGTCATTTTTGTGGGATTTCAGGAAGGAGCAGATCTAATCATGTATTCAACTTGTTATCTTAAATAGCAGTTTTCTCTGTTTTACTTCACTCTTTAGTAAAGTAATTAGAATGTGTGTCTTATGCCCCTCACCCTCATCCATTAGATGATAACCTCATGGAGAATGTGAGCAGTGTCCTGTTTACATTTGTATACTCAAGTACTGGGCTTAGTAAGTACTCAGTACACTTGTTACACTGAATTTATATAATTCAAATGTACATCTACTTTAAATGGTTTTTCCATTGATACATCAGTAGAAACTTATACTTCTACTTCCCAAATTCTCTAATATGTAAAAAAAAAAAAAAAAAAGAAAAAACCCACAATAAGTTTAAACTCCTAATGCCCAGTCATGCCTGACTGGAATGACCTGAACACATGGAACATGTAAATCATATTGTTCATTCATTACACTTTGCAAAGACTCTTATGTCACTCTTGGTCACTCTGGTGACCAATCTCATTTCCAAATCTCTCACCCCCAAATAGAGTACTTTGTAGTCTCTGCATTGGGGATATTTTTAAAACAATGAAGTTTAATCACATTTACCTGACAGATTATCTGGTTATAAATGCATATTTCTCTTAGATGAATTTTATTAGAACTTTAAGTTTGTATCAATATATTTTTCAATAAATAGTTCCTCGATGAAGAATAGAAGGGTGCCTGGGTGGCTTAGTCGGTTAAGTGTCCAACTCTTGTTTTTGGCTCAGGTAATGATTTCATGGTTCGTGAGATGAAGCCCCATGTTGGGCTCTGCACTGACAATGCACAGCCTACTTGGGATTCTCTCCCTCTCTCTCTCTGCCCCTCCCCCACTTGCCTTCTCTCCCTCTTTCTCAAAATAAATAAAAACTTAAAAACCTGAATAGAAATATACATGAATATGTGTACTCCAGTATTTGTATATTATCAGTGGCCAAATTGTGATCATTGAATCCATTTTCCAATAACAGGAAAACTTGTGGTTAGTTAGATACCTAATATATGGTGCTGTTTTTCTCCCATAGCCAGTTCTATCTTTCTCCCTCTCTTTATATATATCCTCTTGGTTCTGTTTCTCTGGAGAACCCTGACTAACACACATACTTTAATTATAAATAGAAAAGTGACTGCACTACTTAAAAATCTCATTCATTGTTCAATGCTTATTAATAATCA